TTCCTTTGTTAGGAGGGCGATTAGTGTGTCATCTATATAGTCTTCTCACGGGTCGTCAAACAGCGAGTAGGGGTAGCTTCAGACCCAGACCCGAATGTAATTAAAGCATATAGTGTTCTGAGCGCGCCTCAAAAAGCAAACAGACTACCACAGATGTGGTCCATCAAGGTAGATGTTTACCCGGAGTTAATAATTTGCAGCAGCCTCGGCTTGGAGTAGGAGAAGGAACTGTGTGGATTTTAAGTCTCTAAGAATCTGACATTCTCTGTGCCCACATTCTAGGTGAAAGTCATTTGATGTTTTTCCATATTCAAAAAAGGTCCTGAGTGACGGTGGCAGACTGGCTGAAAACCACAACTTTCCTTCTGCTCGAAGCCTAGCTGTGGTAGATAATATCTATAATAATATAATTACGCTGACATCCACACGCTGACGTCCACGTTCCACTTTAGGACCATGGATCCTTATACAGCTTATCACGATACCAAAATATCAATAGATATACGATATCAGAACTCTCCGTAAATTTTTTAATTACGCTTTGAAAACAGTAGAACAAAGATTCACAATAATCAACAAATACTTTTCTAATATACATATCTACCTAGGTATGTAGGACAGAATATCACAGAAAAATAACACGTTCATAATTATTTTAGCATTTTATAATGTCATGTCATGTACCCACATTATGACCTGACAAATAATAAGCACAAGGTCCATATTAAAACCTGGTGGATATCAATGTCGTTTCAAATCATTTCATTTACATAAACACACTATACCTAATAGAACATAGGTAAACAAATGTAATCAGATATTTATTTTATAAGCAAAAAATATTGGTTTCAATTACCTATGTGTGTACAGTCGACACTGGTATTTGGTATGCAGTTAAGAAAATAATGATTGATTCAATACAAAGACAGTAGCATATATTTTGTGTGCTTACCGGGCACGGCAACTTCAGTAGGTTCCTGTTTCGGATCCAGTGGGAGGAAACGCCCGAGTGTCGTCATTATGAGGATCACCTAGAGGATACGGTGGAGCATACGGTGGCGGTATGCCCTGCCTGGGCTGAGCACCGCCGTGTCCTCAGGGAAGTGATCGGCGACGGCGACCTCTCGCGCCCGGCCTTAGTCGAGGCCATGGTGCGGAGCGAGAGGAACTGGGACGCCGTCTCCTCCTTGTGTGAAGCAGTTATGCTCGCAAAGGAGGAGGCGGCCCGCGTGAGTCAGCAATTCTCCTCCATACGCCCCAGTCGCCGCAACAGGCGACACTACGGGCGTCGGCGATCAAGGGACGATCTCCGGCCACCGTAGCGTTCCGCGCGCGCCTCAAAGAGCCAATAGACCACAGACGGGGCCCTATAGGGCTGATGTTCAGCCGGGGTTGCGGGGTAAGCGAAATGAGGCACGGCGACCTCGGCTCAGAGCAGGAGAAGGAACAGGGGGATTTTTAGTCAGTAAGAATCTTACACTCCCTCCCGCTCGGCCCTGGGCGGGATAAGTCATTTGATGATTTTTCCCTCACAAAAAGTAGCATTTATTTTGTAACTTTGTAATTTATGTTATTTTGTTGTGCAGAGGCTGGGTGACTGGCTGCTGCGCATCATGTCGCAGGTTTGATTTCCGCGTCGGGAAAATGTGATGGTTGCTTTTTCTTATTAAAATAAACATTGCCAGCCCGGAATCAGGAATTTGGCAGCATTACACCCCCTTGCTTCGTAAAACGTGAAACTGTTAGTCCTGCACCTGACCTCTTTTCGTTAGGTCTGCCATCCTATTGGATTTAGAGAGTAACACATGTGTCCACTATATCTCCTCAGTAGTGGCTTCGTCTAATTAGATAGATACCTAGTCTATCTGCAAAAGTAAATCTAGGAATATAGTCATAGGTTAGTATTTTATGACGACTGTCCGTTGTTTGTTGTGAGGGGAAAATCATCAAAGGACTTCTCTTACCCAGGGTGAGATAAGAGGGGGTGTCAGACTCTTGTTGACCTCCCCGTTCCTTCTCCTGCTTTAGGCCACGGCCTTGGTACTGTATTAAGCTAGCCCCGCAACCCCGGCTACGTGGCATGAGGTGGTCTAGTAGCTCTTTGAAGCGTTGAACCTAAGCTACCCTTGCTCAAGCTAACCTTGCTCGCCGTCCGTAGACCCACGATTAACCTCTACATAATAGAAAATGAAACAATGAATTTATTTTTGCAAATAGGCCATAAAACGGCACTTTTACACGTCAATTTATATGTGAAAAACTAGATGAAGCCGGCATTTCCGGCATCTGACTACTCTGAGAAGAAATGCCGAAACTAACTCAGAGGTCAGTCTCTTCTCTTAAATGCATTGTGTCTCGCGTATATCTGCGCTCCGGCATACCACGAGTTAAGATGCCCCCTTCGTTGTTTAGTAGGTATTCCTGATAGAGCCCTGCTTGCAGCGACATGTTTATCATGAAAAGTTCCCTTTTCTTTATGATATTTTTCGTATGTTGTTTAAAGTCTAGAAAGAATTAGTATTAGTACCAAGTCTTACATATTATAAAGCCCAATAACGACGTCTAATAATTAGATTCGGGCGTGGCAAATACCGAATGTGACTAATTACCTAATTGTGCAATTCTTTAATTACGAATATCACTACGATCGCTACCTATGTATATCTTATCTAAATAGAAATATTTTATGAATTAAACACGTGCAGATAGGTAGATACTATTAATTATAACGCACATGTTTCGTATAACTTGTGAAATTGTAAGGCATTAGGATTTCTGATTTTGCAACTGCTTTTTTTTGACGGGGGAATATTATCAAACGAATTTCGTCGTTTCCGCCGCTTTCGTCGCCATCGCCGCCGTGGATTGTGACTCTTTTTGACTCTAAAAATCCTTCCTTCCTTCTTCTTATTCAGACAAAGGACGCGGTACATAATTGCCCTTACACCCAAAACCCCTGGTAGAAGTTTCTAACTTCGTAGGGATTTTATTTTTTTATTTATACAACCACAACGTCTTTTATGTCCTTGTAGTTAAGGGTTATTAGAGGGAGTACAAAATGGCAGATATTAGCACATATACTAGCTATGTATAGACGGCTGCACGCGTCACCGCGACACTTACGCTGCTCCTGAATAAGAGTCCCGTTGTGACTTGAAACTAGTCGAGCTTTTCTCAATTGATTCACGTGAATAAGTCGTTATTTTTGTTTTAAGCCAATTATCATCAGTTTTTGTTATAAGTTCCATGTAATACTCGCCCCATAAGTTCGTAAATAGTATGTGTTGACCTATATAAAAAAAAGAAAATGTGTTGAATTTAAAATTTTCAGGATTTTCTTGATAACTCTGTGGTAGCGTGGTAGCCTGAGGTATAAGGTGCTTCTCACGCATGAGGACAGCCTCAGTCAGCCACAACAGCCTCAGAGTTATAACAATGTACTTTATATGATTGTTAAGACACCTTAACATACGGTGAAGAAAAACATCGTGAGGAAACCTGAACTTATTCCTAATTTCTAATTATAAGATTGATATAGCAGATCTGCCTTGAGCAAGCGTGGTGGTTAAAACTCGAACCTTCTTTGTATGAGTAGAGGCCTTTGCTCAGCAGTGGACACTTTTAGGCTAATGACACGAACTGTGTTAAAGTTACTGACATTCTTTAGAGCTTTGTACCTTACGAGAAGGATTGTAAGTACTTGGTTTATTCGTAACAATAGGCAAATACAATGAACTAATTGACTTAACTACTGAATAATGGAGGAACTCATCTCCACACAGCATTTGGTGATCAGGGCAGCGTGTATCGGATCCACATGGCATAGAAGTTTTTTTTATCTAGCAGTAAATATTGCCTATGTTATTCAAGATATTATTGTACCTTATAGAGAGTGTAGACGTTGATGGTGATATCTATACGTATTTGTAAGTTTGTATGTTTGTAAGTTTATATATAGGGGGTAATCTTTGAAACCGCAGGATCGGATTGCCAAAATTCTTTCACTGATAGATAGCTACAATGTTCCTGAGTGCTATAGGCACCTACAATGCACAAATGCACAATGTTCCTGAGTACTATAGGCTATAAAACATGACGCTACGATCAAATGGAGTCGAGCAGAGGGTGAAACCGCGTGAGGGTAGCTAGTAGATATATATATATAAATATCATGACCATTTTTATTATCTTGGTCTGCAAGTTAGTGAAACTTACTACAGATGGATCTTTAGGAGTCATTCTCTTAGTAAGACTTATAGGACCTATAGGAGTCATGTGTGAGAAGGCTCATAAACAAACACCCGTACGGTGGTATGGGTTCTCTCCATAAGAGCCTTCTCTGCATAAGAGGGGTGTGCCATATCTATGGTAGTACAAACTAAACGCGTTTAAAAATGGTCAGCTCAGTTAATATATCTTTTAATCAGATAAAATATCTTTTCTAAAACTTAGTTACAAGATACTACTCGTACTTCACAAAAATATGTAAGTATACATATTTATTTACCAGCTAAAATGGCTCGGAAAAAAATTCTGAAAGCGCCATCTGTTAAGTATCTTACAATAATTGGGATTAAAATTAATTGTTATGTCAAAATAATACTATTCTGCCATTACTGCATAGTATAAATTAAAATACGATAGTACTAACCATAAAGTTTATATACCCAAAATAAATTTGACCAAGATTTCCGGCCTACTTAAACTTATTTAAATTTGGGAGAGCCAAGCTTTGGTACGAATGGTTCAGCGCAACTGGAGTGATACCACGGCTTCGCAGAAAACTGGTATGAAACATCCATAGTGTCGTGTTTCGCTGTGTGAGTGAAGTAACCGGAGAACCAATCTTTCCCTTCCCACATCCTTCCCCAATCCCTTATCCCCAAAAGGCTGGCAATACACTCGATCATAACTCCTTTAGTGTTGCGGGTTTCCAAGAGCGATAATTGCTTACCATCAGGTTATATTATATAAAAAAAACTCAAAAGAACTGAAAATACCTGAGAAAATACGAGGAAGGAAGTAGGTATAGCCGCCAGTCCACAGAGTAAGTAGAAGAGCACCACATGCCAATTTCCAGTCCTAGTGGCCAGTACTGCGGCCTCGTCCAACTCCTTAGTCCACGTCATAGTCACCTCACTATCTTCAACACTTTTTCAAATATCGAACTAATTCCAATTCGTTCGAAACTTAAACTTGACATTTTAATAAAAATACTATTATTTTAATAATTTATTATTCTTGGACCTGTTATTGAATTTAATAAATAATGTGATTTTAGTTATTATTTATTGGGACCTGTTCCGTTATTTATGACACTTTGGTTATTTTATTTTATTGATTCGAATTTATTATTTTGTAAATTAACACATAAAAACTATTATTTAGTATTCGGAATATACCTAATATTGATTTACGAATAACAAATAAATGTTGTTGGCAATTTTACACTTAATTTAAATATTAATAGTATTTTTATTTTATTTTTCCGAAATCACTGTTTCAATTTAATTTTCTTTCGATGATTTATTACGACAACTGTTTACTAAAAATATACCTAACACGCGTCTGTCTTTCGAAATGTTTAAATTACACTAAACATGCTTGCTACGTTCCGCCTGACCAGGGGAGATAACCCTACCATATGTGAATGTCATGTATTCAATAAAGACAATAGTAATTTGCAATTCGTTTTTATTTAGTCGCGTTGTACCGATGGAGTACATTGTGTGATTACTATTTGTATTTTGCATTCTCATTATAAACTCACGCTGGTGAAAACAAACATTCATTCGAACTGTTTATTTATTTGCTTATAATATTAGGAACTTTTACAATAATGTATTTATTTATATCTAATACACGGACGAAAAACAAACTCATTGCCTCTATGCATATAGAGGCTAGGCCTGAAGCTCGAACTTCTATGGTCCTTGCAAAGGAGCTTAAAGGTGAGTCGGGAATGTGGGTTCATGGGTTGAGGGTCAAGCGAAATATTATACTTGCAGGCCTAGAGCAGGAGAAGGAATGAGGTGGTTTTTAGTCAGTAAGAGTCTGGCACTCCCTCTTGCCTCATCCTAGGCGAGAGAGGTCATTTGATGATTGTCCCCTCACAAAAAAAGGCTGCTGCTTGGAGCAGAAGAAAGAACCGGGTTTTTCGATTCTGACTTGCTCTCGCACCACCCAGCGCGGGCGGTAGAAGTAATTCGATTAATTTCCATCCAAAAAAATAAAAGATTTTTTTCTCACTAATGAATAAGTATTCATTTTTCATGATATCAAATAGGTTTTTATAATAACCCTCGTGAGACATACTGAATCGCGCCGCGTCCGCGCACGTTGCTCATGAGAAAGAACCCCTCTGTGGTTCGAAACTAGTAGAGCTTTTCTCGATTTGTACACGTGAGTAACCAGCGATTTTTAGTTAATATCAAATATGTATCCGAGGACAAAAAAATAAGTAGTTACTTTCTATTTGTAAAGAAAGAAAGAAAGAAAGAAAGAAAGAAAGAAAACTGTTTTTATTCGGACCCAGACATGAAGGCCAAGAACAATAAAAAAAAAATACAACAATAAAATAAACAACACAATAAAAGTTTGAAATAACAGGACAATAAAATAAAACAAAAATAAAATTAATCAAAACAATAACGTAAAAACAGCCTAACAAAGTACAATAATACAACCCTGGGTTGGCGGACATGCCCAATCCGAATGGGTCGCCAACTCAGCAAAAGCTGGGCACAAAGCACCCAACACTGATTTTCAGTTGGCACCCCTGCAGTGACGCACGGACGAATGCAACACATACTATCTACTAGTTACTAGTAATTAGAGTTAAAATATCTTAGTTTTAAGACTTGTAACTCAATTGTAATATTTTTGAATGAGAATAAATAGAGTTTTCATAGTAATCATTGTTATATCAGAAGCAATGTTATAAGGGTGTGGTGCTAGTGAAAGCGGAGAACAATAAAATTAATTTAGTATTTTTTTATTATTCGTTTTATGTCGCACATGTTTTAAATGTTCTTATACAATACTTATTCAAATAATTATAATTGAAAAACGTATTTTATTAAATTTAAAGCTGTCTAAATATTATGGATTATTAATCACAGCCTGGTAACAGTGAACTCTTTGTTTTAAAGTACCGTACCCTTAAAGAAACGACAGACCACCACAGTTAAGGCCCAATTGGACTGATGTTCAGCCAAGACGGGTCAAGCATAATAATGTACCGCGGCATGAAGCAGGAGAAGGGCCGGGGTACTTTTTAGTGAGTAAGAGTGTGTACACTGTCTGATACTCTCTGTCGCACCACCCAGGCGACAGTAGACATTATGATTTACCCACATAGAAAAAACTTTTTGATGGGAAAACTAAAAACATATATTAATTTAAATATCCGCTGAAGCCTCAGTGATTAGTTACCTGTAGGTGTAGTTACCGTTATAGCTTACGAGATGACCCACCACAGACGCGCGAGTCGGTGGTTAAGTGACGTCAACTGCGCATGCGTCACTCCTCGCGAAGTAGATTACAAAATAATAATAAATGTAAGTGTCATAATATAATTAAACTGTATGTCAATGAATCATTTTTCCTCAATAAGTGTTTGGAGTTGCATATCTCTAGTATGTTTGTGTGCTACCTGTACTTAAGGCACTACAGAACTGTAACTAAACAGAGTTAGAGTGAAGGCTGATAATGATAGAAATGTAAAATATCATAAATCTCCAATGACAAGCACCAAAAAATATAATTTTTTGCTTAATATTTCGGCTAAATGATTAATTTACATCGTTATAAAGTAGGCAATCCAATAAAATTATACTTTACCTCAGTCATACCGCCTGGCAATTGTCATACGAATCGTGTTTAGATTTATTTAGATTTAGTATCTAAATAATTTTTTAAACGTCCAAGAAAAGGCAAGTACCTTACTTTATTAATGTACCTTTTTAGTGTTGTACATATCAAAGATGGCGCTATTTGCATGCCACCGTAGACGAATAAACGGAGCTATTTACTTGGTTGCCCTTTTCAGGGTATCCAAAGGGTAAAAACGGGAACCCTAACTAATTACAACCCTGCTGTTGGGGCATCTGTCTGTCTCATCATCTTCTCATGAACCGTGATAGCTAGATAGTTTCAATTTAGATAAAATATGTATAATAATTTGATGGCTTTAAAAACTTAAAACAAGTAAAATAAATAAATTATAATTAAAACAATGGTTTAAGGGCAGATTTTTAATGGTTAGATATAAGTTATTTGGTGAATAATGATGACGCTCTCGCGTCAGAATGTTTGTATAAGACAGTGACAGCAACAATTTTAATCCTAAGACAACATTTTATCTGACTATTGATAAATCAGCTTTTAACATAATCGCATAAAGCAAATCACAACAGCATTTCAACCATCCCCTAATGCCTAACACGAGCAAATAAAAAACTAAAAAGATAGAGATATAAACACTCAAAAATATATTCCAATCGATGTGAAATGGCACTCACTTATTTTTAAGCTTGCACGTGACTAATTTACATACAAGTTCTTAATATTTTTTGTAGTCGCTTACACTGGCACCCTACCCTAAGCAGTGGCGCTTTCAAATCAAGATTTGGACCTGTTTTGAAGGAGATAATGTGATAATGTATTAATAAAGTGAAACTAGTCTGATGTTGGTAATGTTTGTTGATAAAAATAATCTGTATTGGTCATTAACGTTTATAGTTCGAGCTGTGAACATCTACTCTGCTTAGATTTCCCTTGTAAACAACAAATTGTAATTGCTTTGGCATGATTTACAAAACAGAAGGGAGATTGTTACTGTGATCCGCCACATTATCTTTTGCACTGAAAAATGTAACAGATAATACGAATTTTAATAATTTGTCGGCAAGAAGGTGCTTAGAAATAGTTTCTTTAAAAGTTAGTATAGTACAGTTTGTTGTTTTTTTCTTATCGTTTTTTAATTTCATGCCAGTTTTGTATTACTCCATTCCGTTTGACTTCAACCACTTCTGAGATGACATTTGTATGTGTATTTTTTTTCTTTCTTATTTACATTTTACTTGTTCTTGTTTAGAATGTTCATGCTTAAGTTAACCTAGAATGTCTATAAGCGAAGACTTGTTATTGGCTTTCTGGTGTTTAATAAGATTGTACTTCTGTTTTTCTTATTTTGGCTGCAAATCTTCGCTGTGTGTGGGAGAGCCATGCTTCGACACGAATGGCGAATGGCATGGCCTTCCCCTCCCCAAATCCCTTCTCAATCCCTAAATCTCCAAATCCCTTATCCCTAAAAGGCCTGCAACGCACTTGTAATTCCTTTGGTATTACGGGTGTCCATAGGCGGTGCTGATTGCTTACCATCAGGTAATCCGTCTGCTCGTTTGCCGACCTATTACTACTACATACTTACATGAAAAGAAAAAAATATGCTTAATTATATGAATGAAATGGAACTTATATACTTTCCTCAAAAAAAATAATGTGTCAAAATGCTTGTAAGCAACGATGGGGACTACCGTCAATTTTGGTCACAAGATGGCGTTAAATTTAGGTCAGTTCGTCCCATTGGCGTGACAGTGGCTAATACCCTATTGGCGGAAAGGACCAGAGGTTCACACTATAGCCAACTGTTGAGCAAAAAAAACGATAGTACCATTGTACCAAGACAACGGGCGTTACCCGATTATCGTCAATGAAAACAAATTTAAATTTTATTTTTATCTGTTAAATATCAATTGAAGGTAATTGTAATGCTTTAAAGAATTATGAAACTGAAAATGATACAAAACAGATATCAGGTCCTGTCAATCAAACCAAATTAATAAAAAAAACAATTCAAGTGGCATACTCACTCTATTTATATGTAGCTTTCATGTAAGTGTACCATAAAATGTACCTATGAAAAAAAACTCAGTATATTTTTAGTGCTCTTGCAACTTTGATCTGTTCACTTACCATCAGGTGATCGCCCCATCCTAAAGCTTGAAAAGGTAGCGTTTCATCACGTTTACCTTTAGGCGTTTCTTAGAACAATCCGAACGACCACAGCTAGTAAATACCACTTATTGTTTTTAGTACGTTCTTATAAGGAAATCGTAAGTATAACAAATTACTATATAGCTTCTGCCAAAGGCCTCGGCAACGTTGTCCGGGTCAAAAATAGCTTCATTAGCATCTGTGTATTTGTTATTCCAGGTTATAATTTATCTTGTTTAGCCTTGGTTGCGGGTGCAAGAGCACCAATGTACTGCGGCCCGGCCTGGAGCAGGAAAAGGAGCGAGGTGGCTTTTATTCAGTAAGAGTCTGACCTCTCGTCCCATTGCATTGGCGCCATTTTATTCAAAATCCATTTAGTATTTTTATTGTCAAATTCAAAGCCAAAATCATTTATCTCTATTAAAGCAAAAGTAGGTACTTTTGAAACGTCAAAAAAGAATAGAAGGTAGTCTGTCAGTCTGTTCGTCAGTAAAGCTAGCAGTGTGAAAGAGTAACAAACATTAACTTTCGCGTTTAAGTAGGTTTTCTTAAACATATTATTATGTAAATTGTTATATAAGGAAACTAGG